CTTTTCTTTCTTTACCACTTCGAAAGAACGGGCCAACGACATTCGCCAAGTGTGCCAACCCTATTGTACTGTCAAAAGATACGGCTTGTCAACATTTAGCCCCATGTTATTTGCGAAGCAGGAGAGATTGACTAAGACGTTGATGACTTGGATCAATTAAGTTGGATGAGTGGGAGGCACACACACTGTGCGCAACTGTTAGTGCATGTTGGATGAGTTTGTAGCAGCCTCTTTTGTTCAATAAATCGGACGGATGGCATCATAACTTCGGTCGCTATAACAATTAGGTATGTGGTAGTGAATCTTGGTTGGCAAACGAGGTGGTTGTGAACACGTACAGAGTTGAACTTCACCGCACCCGTACGCACGCGGTGGAGTGAATGGTGCTATGGAAACGTAAGATTCTCTAAGTAACACAATCGGAGATGGACATGAAACAACTTCGTTTAAAATGCGCTTATACGGACTGATGCTGGTGTTGTACTCGCTGTGCCTCTACTACCTGTCGCAGTCAGAGGAGCAATTGCGGCGAGGTGGTGAAGATGAGGTTGGTGCTGTGCTGTCCCACTTTTAATAGTCCACAATGGAGGTCCGCATCACTCTGTTCATGGTGGATGTAGACACGGGGATTGTTTGTGGTGGTAGTGGGGCACGGCAGGGAGGAGGGGACGAGGTGGGTGGCTGTAAGGCAGTGTGTTGCAATTTGTGCCAATGTATTTTGCAAAGGACATTTTTGACACGTCAAGCTCGGTAGTAGTGGAGTGATGAGGCCATACTTTACACTCGTGTGGCTGATAACAGGTGAACGTGAGGGTATGTGGACCTAACGCACAACGCCAAGTGTTTGCACTAGGAGTGTGGAGGGTGGACCTGGGTGACTGTGGTTGTGGTTGTGGAGTTTTGTAGACTTGATTCAGGAGGCTGACTCTTGCAACTTGCGTGTTGACACTGGTGTTGAGGAGTTAGTTGAGTTATGCACACCGCGCAAAACCGGAGTTGATTGTGGTGGCGTGAGGTTGCAGAAGGGTGTAGAGAGAGGAGCATGAGTGGGATGAAGAGAGAGGAGAAAGGGAGAGGGGCTTTTCAATCGTCAGGGAAGCAATCGAATCACTTGGGATTGGAGGAGACTGCGTGTTTCCTGACTGCGAAGGTAGAGAATACCATTGTATGTCACCTTTGAAGGTCTAGAGGGTGAAAGCTCCGCTGCCGCAAGCAGTGTTCGCTAGTCCACATTCCTGGCACGATGGAGTGAGAATTGCATCCCCTTGATTTATGCTCCTACGATGGAAGGTACAGCTTCCTGTTACCTTCATTTGCAAACATTAATAGGTATTAAGTATTGATGGTTGATGGTTTGACATCAGGATGGATGTAGGACGGAGAATTGGTGCTCAGAATCTATCAGCATGCATGAAGATGTTGAATGGTATTTGAGAGAGTGCTGATGCTATTTGAGGTAGAGTGTGGATTTTACAATGGGGCACAGACGGTCTGCCACATGTGCGTTGAGGTGTGATGTTGGCTAACGTTGATCACCAAATGTGCTTCAGACTTATATCTTGGAGCTGGTGGAGTTGGAGGTTGTGGCGATGGTGGTGCTGGTGGTAGTGCTTGCGGTGGTGAAGTAGCGTCAGAACGCAGCAGTACAAGTCCGCAGATGCGGTCGGTGAGTTGTTCGGAACTGCAGGGCAATGGTGCCACCTACAGCGCCTCGGAGTGTAATGAACAGCGTCGGCGGGTGGTACGCTCCTACACCAGTCGTCTGCCTCCTTCCGGTCACCATTGGCAATCGCGACAAAATTGGAAACCTCAGCGCCAGAACTCCTGTCCCACGAAGCCGGGGGGCAGCAGCAGCAGTGGCAGCAGCAGCAAACTGAACAGTCTGATGGTGTTCCTCAAATCGCCCAAGGTTCGTTTCCTCCTCCCACTAATACCACCTGCTGTGAGTGCAATCTTGAACCCCATTTATATTGCACTTCTTATCCATCGTATTACACAGCTTTGAAAAGGAGGGGAAAGAGAGACGGGTAGGCGGAGAAGAGGAGAGGAGGAAGTAAAGGAAGAAGAAGGCATTTGGTGGGGTATTGGAGGTTGAGATTCATTCGATGATTGAGTTTGGTGTAGTGCTTAGTTGGTGGTGTTTACCGGAGGCGGTGCATGTATCGTGGCATTCATCTGCTCTCCCATCGCGAGGCATGTCAAGTACTTGGAGGTTTTCTGAACACTGTGGATTCTTTGGTCTGCATTAAATGCATTCTAAAATTGCTTTTGAAATTGTTGAATCGGCGTTCCTTCCTCCACTCAAAGTGGGTTCACACAACGCGCATGCGATGTTAGTGCAGAGGGAGGTTCGAAGTCAAGCGCGGTTGTGTGGAATAGGCATTGGGTGTAATGGCATTTGGTTTGCTTTCTTCACACTTGATACAAGGAGTTCTCTCCTCCTACATGCAATGAGGCAAACTGGCGTGTCGTATTGTGCTGTAGAAAAAGAAGAAGACGAGGGAGACCTTGAATAGCCGAATTAGCATTGTGAACGTAGAGAGGTTTGTTGTGTTAGAGTAGAGTACAAGTGGGGTGACGGAATAGGTAGGGGGCTTGCAGTGGCATGGCTGCGAGGTAAGATTGCTTGCCAAAAATGGAATGGTAGAGGTTTGGGTGGTTGAACGAGCAAATAAGTAGGATATTTTAAAGCTCTTCTTTTCTGGTGAGGGCCTTGTTCGAGGGCTAGCCCAGGCCGTTCCTCATGTGAAGCACCACAACGTGGCCAAGGGTGTTTGCCTTTGGCATTGCTAGTCGTAGGATCAGTGGCCTGGTTTGGAGATGTGCGCTTTTCTGCTTCCTGTATTTCCTACATCACTGCTGCCTTGGGTGAGCATAGTGGGTTTGAATCCGGTTGTTAGGAGGGCGAAGGAGGTATTGTATTATCACAGCATCAACATCCTCCCACAAGTACGATGACGACCGCGCAATGACGTGCATTCGATGGTCTTACGTCCACGGTCAGCGTGGAGTCATTTGCTGACAGGACTTTTGTTGATGATGGAGGATGGTTGAGCTGACGACTCTTCCTGCCAACTAGGATTTGTAGTTGGAAGTGAGAATGAGGGCTGGTCGATCGGCCGATGTGGCTAGACACTGTAGGTCTGTGGCGCCTTGAGTCTCTGTCTAAGAAGGAGGAGGAGGAGGAGGAGGAGGAGGACACTAAGCCTTGGAGCAAGCGATCATTGTTGGATGAGCGGTGGACGTCGGTCCGCAGTTATGGCTCAGAGGCCAATTTTTTGGTGGGAGATGCAAAGGATTGCATAGCTGCAAGGTACTTGGCGCCGGAATGGAGAGTTAAACAGTGAATTAAAGCGTTAGGTAAGCATCTCATCCATAATTTTGTTTTGTATGTTCAGGTCGCGCTTCGGCAGGTGTCATCGCGTTCCAATCAGCTTCGAACAAGCACCTTCCCACTCATGGAAGATGGTACGTCTGACCATTTACCGTGGCCTCTTGCTTTTGGTCAAATGGCTTAAATAAGCTAGCAGTCAGAAAAGAGTGTCAGCATGAGGCTGGATCATCGGTTCACGTAAGCTGTGCGTCATTACAGCAGCCGCATTGAGTGTCTGTAAATGTGAATATGTGTTGCTATGGTGTGCGCATCATGTTGGTGCAATGAATTGCCACCCATCTGGTCGGCCCTGCCACGGTGCCTCGTTCTGACGCGTCGACTGCACTATCAGCTGTGGTACGAATTGTGTAGTTTTGGGTGGAACATTACGGCATGTGCAACCACAAATGAAATGGAGAGTGCGACGTGTTGGCATGGAGAGGTCGGAAGCCTGGAGAGAAAGGATAAGTTGTGTAGACTTGACATGACTCGCTGGTGGTGAGTGAAGCGTGTCTACTCTCCACCCCAAGGTTACGGAGTTGGTCGTGAATCTGGCTGGGTGATGTAGGATGCAGCCTATTGCCCACTCACCATGGGATTTGGGAGGGGAGAGTGGTGTGGTTTTGTGATACCTTGCATGCATTTGTTAGTATCAGTGTGCAGACGGGGTGCTTTGCTTCACTCTTTCTGAGGAAGAATGGGCTGAGACCGACCAACATCCAGATCACTCAATCCCTTTCTTTAGCGTTGAGGTTGCGTCGTCACACCTGTGTTGTCTAGCACTTTCTGTTTGCATTTTTTTTTGTTTGTTTGAAAGCCCTCCGAATGCGAGGGTGTTTATAGGGGTCGTGAAATGCCCCACCTTTTGTTTCGCTGTGGTATGGACATTTACAAGGGTGAGTGGTGATTACAATTTAGATTTCCTCTCCTCGGAGAACGTGGATGCCAACGCCAATGCCAATGTCAATGCTCGGATGCCTCCTCTCCTCCTGTAAGTTCTCTCCGAACAAAGGCTCGCAGCGAACCAGTCATGCACGACATGGTGGTCAGTTGCGGTTTTGTAGAGTGACCCAGATCACCTTCTACAGCACTCCTCTCCCATCCCCTCCCATTTCTCCTCCCCATCTGTCTCTCTGCCTCCTGCCTGCCCTTCATTGCTCGTTTCACAAGCCATCTGGTGGACAGATGTGTGGTGGTCACATCGTCTGCCTGTGTTGGGGGTGAGTAATGCGCCTTGGCTCGTGTTTTTGTCACCCGGGCAGCAGCCTGTGTGAAATCGTCTTCAGTCGTGGCAGTGACTCACTCACATCCTCTGTCCCTGGATTAGAAGTGGACCTTCCTATCTCCGCTCTCCACCCTCCCTTCCCATGTTGCCTGGATGTTGGCACTTCCTCAGCGTTGTGTTGCAGGTAGTCTTGCTGTGCTTTCCCAAGTGATACGTTGATCGACACGATACAACGGTGGCATAAAATAGCCTCCCAATTGCAGAGGTGCAATTACCTCAGTAAACAAGTAATTGATAGGAGCAAATGACGAGTTGGAATGGCCCATTGGCTGCACAGTAGGCAGGAGTTGAGGATGAAGGAGGCATCTCACTTACGATGAAGCAGTTTAACACTGCGCTTTTATGACCTATGCTGTGTTCTTCCAACCGAATTGCGCATCAACGGTTACAATCGTGAGAACGCAATCAGCATCATGAAAAGTGTTTTGAATGGTAATGGGAGGAGTTATTGCGGTGTCGACGTGGCGATAAACTGGGAGGCGCCCCGCCTCACTATATAGTTATTTCCTGACACTACCCTCGGGCCAGAGTGGAGCGGAGGATGGCTTGAAGTTGGGAGCAGGGCATCGTAGTGGCAGTGTAAATGCATGGCATGCGTCGCAGTGAGACTTGCTCACAGTGGTACAGGGATGTATTTGTCGTAGGGCTGAGTGAGTGAGCGGAGTGCAGTCCGACCGTGTTCATGCTCTTGCAGCACTAAATCTCACCAGTGATGCCAAACAGGATGTCGAGGTGAGCTGACAGCGCGTTTGGCGGAACGGTGAATGTGTGGACGACTGTTCCCACTGCATCGCAACCGAAAGTGTCACTAATGAAAGACAGGTTACTGCTTGTGGTGAGGAGTCGATGCGTTTGTGTTTGGGTGCGGTGTCCAACGCCTTTAAAACGCGTCACCCACATGTGCAGGTTCCCCAAAACGCCATTCAGTTGATTAACTTGTGCAGAGGAGGGGGATGTGATATCGATGTCCCCCCTCCCAACTGGTGGCACCCTGGAGGGAGGAATGTCGTAATGTGAACGATTTGGTCAAGGGGTTTGGTGATGGAAATTGCACTTGGATGATGGTGAGAGAAGGGTGCGTTCCACAAAATCAGTCACTCCAGGCCCCCATGCCATCTCATTGGAGAGGCGACAGAGCATCTGCTTTGGACAGGGCGAGCGTCTTTAGTGTGTGTGTATGACAAGGGCATGTGCCAGGACAGTACTCCTCAATTGCAATTCCTCATTAACTGATGCCACACCCTTAAGGCCTTATCTTCCGTCTCTCGATCGTTGACTCGGTAGCTCGCACACCGCCCGCTCGCTGACTGGCTGGCTAGCAGGGTGGGTGGCTGAACGGCGGGGTCAGTGGCTCAGTTGCTTGCTCACCTTTCACACAGGCTAACGATATGGTGCGTGTGTGCGGAGGATGCAACCTCGCTGGCGAATGAATCACGCCATTTGTGGGTACCATATCGGTTGACAAATGCGGGGCTGAGCAGTGGGTCTGAATGACTTTGCCATTCTGCAATTACTTGCGAAAAATGCACAACCGCATGTCTACCTACTTTTTTTCTCTCTTTCTGTCTCTGGCTGTGCTTGCGTGTGTGCGAGTGTGTGTGACAGAAGTGGTTTAGCGTCAGAGCTCCTGTGTGCGTGATCGAGGCGGACTTGGTGTGGCATGCTGTACGAGTAAGAGGACAGATTAATCACAGGACTGTCATTGTGTGTTTATTGTACGGTCTTCACATATACACTCACACACATGCACACCTCGCGCTGTCTGCCTGGATGGAGGGGAAGGAGAAGGCAGTAGCTTGATGCACGTCACGGTCTCGACTTACACTAACCATGGCTTGGCTTGACATGCCTTTTCTTGCCTTGTAATGTCCCCAATGTGAGGGGTCGATGGAGGTGCATTCTCACGTTTTCTCACCAAGTTTGACGTGCGCCTTTCATCTACAACGCACTCGGCGATCATCATTGAATTAGACAGGGCAATTGTTTGCCAGTTGTTACACGCATGCACCTCTCAACTGAGTGTGTCAAGGCAAAGTTGTGCATGACATTCGTAATCCCAGATGGTGCCTATGTGGTAGACAAATTGGTGTGGGGCAGTGGTCCCCTATGCGGCGTTGCGGCTGTTTGTATTTGCTTGCTGCGGTTGACGTTGGTTCTCGGTTGTGACATTGTGGAGCTGTGCAAAGTCTTGTGAACTGTCCATGCAGGTGGCTGGCAATTGGTTGTGTGTGCAAAA